ATGGTATCCATGTTCTGGAGAAAGCAATTAGAAGCTGGATGCTGAGGCAAAATAAAGAGGCAGGACCATTTGTTACTCTGAAAATGTTATCTAGGAGATGAGTTGCTGGCACAGTTTGGCAGACTGTGTGAGTAGAGACATTAGATATAATATGCAAAGTTCAGTTTCACACGTGCTATTTCAGTTCCAAAAGTAATTATACCAAATTTAATGGATTTGCAAGGATTTACACCCGCACAGCAGGGTGGAGAACACACCCCAGAGGAGACAGAGAGGGGAGAGGCCAGCTGGAATGAGCAGCGCAGGATTTCCATGTCTTGGGTTTGGGATCTGCAGTGCTGATCATGGACAGGGATTTGTATTACACTGCCAGAAGTGAAGATTAAATACGTCTTTGCTTAGGGATATGTGGGATACGTTCCCTCTTTTGCCTGAACTTGAGTGTGGTGGGACACTGGGGGGATGCTGCCCTCGGTTTACAGTATAGAGACTTGATACTCAACCCCGAGGGCCCTTGCACTGTACCGTTCACAGAGACCCAACCAGCTCTGTACTACTGGAAGACGTGTAGCAAGGTTTTTTCCCCTAGGCTTGCCCTCTAAACTCCTTCCCCTCTCCATTGTGTCCTCTCTATCAATAGAGAGTGGAAAGGACACAAAAGATTTGGACCTGAACAGGCAATCGCTACGCAAAAGGAAAACCCTCTATGACCAGAAAATGGTGCAAAAATCTCAATTCAGCTTTGAGGGAGAATGCAGATTGCTCTGTAAGGTAGCTGCAGACCAACCTGCTGGGCAGCTGAGAAAGGTTGTGGCAGCCTAAGCAACAAGATGGAGTTCAACAAAGCAAAGGCATAGGGAGAGGCATCTCTCCAGTGTGGTTTGACCTTCAAATGCTCTTCGAACACAGCTTCTGTTTATACAGGGAGTTAATGGCTCTCAACTAATAAGATCTACCTGATTGGCAAAAACATAAGGGAAGTTGGCTTTACTGACAAAGAAAAGGTTTGTTTTCAGCTATCGTAATTTGCATTGTAATGCTCCCATAATGGGAAGAAGGTTCTGCTGAGGCAGAGGTTCCTGTAGGTAAGGTCAGCCGCTGGCCTACTTTGGGTGTTATCTGGCCTCTCTTCACCGGTGCTGCAAAAAAAAAAAAAGTGCTGCATCCTTTCCCAATTACTTTGAATTTCACTCTGAGTCAGAGCATCATCTTGCTGTGCAAAAAACTTCTGTGACACCAATGACAAAAGCTTAAGAAATTAAATCATTAGAAGTCAAATTGCTGCAGAATAACCTGGCATAGCTCCATCAAAATCTTTGTTTTATCATGGGAAGCTGCCCTTCAAAAGAATAAATAAACAAAACACCCCAGGGACCTTCAGTGAGGCCAAGCCTAGCTTCTCCCCAGAAAGAAACCTTTCATCTTTCCTTTGCAAAGGTATTTATGATCCTAAAAGAAGAGGACAAAAGGCATGTTCTGCCCTTGCCTTGCCCACCAGCCCAGCAGGGAGGAGCTACTCTCCAGCACCCACCTCCTGCCTTCTCCTGGGTTTGGGACTGGCAATGTCAGCCCCTGAAGGAAAACACCTCCTTTGGGGTTAGGAAATCCATGGCTCCTTCTGGGTCTGTCTTTGCAGTCAGGAAGACCCCGTGAGATAAGGAATTGAGCCAAACACCAAGACCTTTTCTCACTTTTTCCGCTGTACACAGTCTAGCCAGTCTGGTGATGGCCTTGCTAGGGTGCAGACCCTTGCCCTGCACTGCTTAGCTCTGGCTTCAGCTCAGCTTTTAACCTGTGTGCCAAACCAGCTACATCTGGAGAATATTCATGTGCTTCAACATAGGGCAAAGAAAGATGTTCCTGTGAGATTTCCTTTTTTCTTTCGTTAGGGCTTTACCTAAGTGGCTGACAGGATGTGATGGAGCTGAAGAAATAGCTCTAGACTCAGAGTGCAGGGATAAAAAGAAAAAAAACTAGACTTTTTTCTCCCCTTTCCTGAGAAAAGGTAATTTACGTAAATTTATCCACGACCAGCACACAGCAATAGCTCACAACTTTGTTAATGGAAACCTGGTGATCCATAACACTTGTGTGGGAGACATTTGCTTGGGGGTAATACAATATTAATGTTAATATCAATGATCGATCAGAGGATTTGCAAGAAAGGCATAAAGTATTTAATTATAATTACATTGGGAATGGCTTTGTAATGGCTACGACATTTGAATAAGGTCACGTCTAGCCCTCACCCCTGTTATGTTGTTCTATATTAAATGCCATTCACTTTAAGTGCTGGAAACCTTTCTGGAGTCGTCAGAATATAATATACTGGGTAAATTGAAATATGTCCCTTCATTTTTTGAAATATGATTGATATCCTTTGCAAAACAAATGTTAACACCTATTTGTACACAAATTTGTTTGATTATATGTTAGGGAAACTCAGGTATGACAGTCTCTCCTAGCAGGCACTTTACTGTGAGCAAAGGACATGGCTATTTGTGAATATTAATTCATCTTACTGGAAATAGTTTTGGATCTTTGCTGTAAATCCACCTGGGTGTCTTTCTGCCTTTCCTAATACATTTATTCCATGCTGCTTAGCAGCCAGAACTGTAGCTCCCTTGGTCTCAGCAGCCCACTGTTTTCACCTGGGTAAGGCATATGCTTAGTAGGAACTTTTGCTGTCACGGAGTTGCCTTTTGCTAACAGCATTAACAAAGACACATAGTAAGAACAATAGTTGCACATTTCACAGGGAAAAAAAATATATTTCAAATATACTTCAGATGTGTACTATAACTATCAGCCTAACAGCAGCATTGACATGTTTAAAACAATCAAGAAAAAATCTGCATATAAAGCATGAATATATAAATGTAGGCAGGATCCTAGAGGTGCACACATACCAGCCCACATGTGAGTGCATGCATACATTGAAGTACTACATGAGGACATGCTCTTCTCACATCTATTTACTACTGAACACAAATACTAAAGAAGCAAATTCTTGTCCCTCTTCAAATGAGAATACATCTGCCTAGTGATTTCAGAGGTTTTCTTCTTTTTTAAAACGTGGATGTAAAGAGCAGATCAATCAGATCTAATGAGTCAAATTTTGCTTTCAGATAATCACCCAGAATAACTATTGATTCACAGAGAATGGAAAGCTCCCACTTGAAGGCAGAGTTTGGTCACGAGAAATCATCCCTTTGAAGTTTGGAAGACATGCAGTCATGTAACTGACATGATTTTCCATTTTGTCTTTTCTGAAGAAGCAAAGACTTTTGCATGCTATGGAAATGCCTGAAGATAGCAAGTTTTATAGTTTTCCAAAAAATGAGCATTTATTACCATCAGTGTGAAACACCACTGATGCTAAATTTTAAGCATATGGCAGGAGTTTCAGCATCATGACACCATACATCATGCATTTTTACAACGTATAAGTGCAGCGATATTGCTCCTTTTCTCAGTAACAATATATAAGAATATATAGTATAAATGTACAGTATATATTAGACACAATGTAAAATAACTTAGCAAAATGTCAAAGCTTCTGCATAAAAATTCAAGTCATGCCCGAGCATACCTCTAGCACAATTTTTCTTAATCTTATCTCATACACCTTCATTCACCTTTAGTTCATGTTGCAAAGAGAATTTTATCTCTCCATATGTAATTGCTTAAAACCACCAGAATCCTTGTCATTTTTCCTGTTATCTGCAGTAGGTGAAGACTGTAGTAGCCAAGCCAAAACCACGATTTTGTGGAGTCTTTACCGATGCTGCCGTTAGGTATTGGCACAAGTGAACAAGTTGGATAAAAGCAAGTTCTTGAACACTCATTACAGTTCATCATTGCCCATCAGGTTCTGTTCTGAAATACCCCTCCACATGTAAAGGGTAACAAAACATCTTTCTTTAGAAATGGAGCTCATGATCTAGCATTGCTCTCTGTAAATTACAAATCTTGCCAGCTTTGGAGCTCATGATTACCACTTTGGTAATTGCTTCCAAGAAGGATGAATAAAAATCTATTTAATAGGATTATACAACTTGTCTCAATGCAGGTAGGTGGAATTCTTTCTTTGTTCAATACTGGATATAGCTTCTTGCAAAGCTGGATCTCCCTTCACACTTGCTAAATGAAATATATCCAAGGACTTTCCTGCAGCATCTCAGGAAGCTTTCTCACAGTGCAAGCGGAGAGGGTTATTTTTTTTAAAGCAAGACATTAAGAGGCCCTATGCCTCTCTCACATTAACCATCAAAGTCAATGAGAGTTCAACAGCTTTGCAATTAGCTTTCTTGGAATTATTTTGAATACAACTTCACTTCAACAGTTTAAACAACTCTGCCCTGGATTTTAAAAAAAATGTACTTTAAACAGTTATTAATAACTAAATTTTCTAATTAATGATGAATTAACTGCACAACAATTTGAAACATGACGTTAAAATAAAAAAAGAAAGGGAAAACAGAGTGATTTTCTCTGATTCCTTTTAAGAAAACAAAGTCTGCCCCCCCCCGCCCTTACATTCTTAGCCAGTGTAAGCCGACAGAATTACACTGGTTTAGATCAGCTTAAGTTCTGACCTATATACTTCAGTGGAATTAATCCTAATTTCCACCAGTGGAAGTGGAATCAAATTCACTTTGTCTTTAATAAAGCAATGGGTGATAAGCAAGTCTCTTTTCTATCAGATTCTGCTTGAGAAAGGAAGTTCTTTGTGGTGTTAAATGTTGTCCATGACAGTTTAGAAAACAAAGCTAGAATTTCATGAATTTCCGCATAGTGAAAAACAGTATTGGTAACCGTTATTTATGCTTTAATCTTAGCAAAGTTCTTTGGGTACAGACAGAGTATCAGCTGGTGAATCAGTAACCCTTTCTGAGTTCTGCTCGGGAAGCAAACGAAGAGGCAGGCGGCTGATTTTCAGTGACATGGGGCTGCTGAATACACTGCAACTCAGACTTTGTTACCACGAATAAATAACATCACATTGTCCAGAACTGGAGATTAATTTGCTGGGCCTCTAGTAGAGGATATTTGTTTTCTTGTATATTATATTGAGATCTCAGGACGGGCAAAGGGTCAGGGGCTGAAAGGATGTAATCGATGCTGAACTTAATTTCAGAATCCGATTTTGCTAAGGAGGAATTGTTTAGGCTCTGCCTGTTGGTCATGCTGTTTGGAGCAAACCCACGAGGCTCCAGTAGTCTTGGGCCTGATTCAATTCTTTCATGTTTACTTTCAGAAGAGGAAATGTTTAAAGCAGAGTCCATAGAAGACATATCGGGGCATGAAGGACTTTTCCCTCTGCTTGGTCTCTGCTCCTTATGTTCCCTTTTCACATTCCTCCTCCTTCGTCTTCGCCTGTAATTCCCATTTTCAAAGAGATCCAGCATGGATTCGCATCCCGTTGCAAAGCTCCAATAGTTTCCTTTCCCCTTCTCATTCCCTTCTGTTCTGGGAACCTGTATTTATTTAAAGGCAGTTCAGTATTTGTATGTGTTACAGATGCTGCTGCTTAACATCTGCATCCATTTACATTCAAGAATGGTGTAAACACATATGACAAGACTTTTAAGCCTATTCTCTTTCATTATATGAATAGGATGTAAACTCCATCCTCTTCAATTTGTTATCTATTAGCACGCATCAGACAAGGATATACACTTTACCTCTATAACTGACAACTCAGAGAGATTTTAAGTGATTCACAGCTCAGCTGTTTGTTTCCCTTCTTTCCTAGTGATGAGATTATTCTCGCATATATTTTTTTTAGCCATGCACAGTGTGTATATAAATATACAGTTACCGCTCTTACCTTTACAAAACAACTGTTAAGCGATAAGTTATGTCGGATGGAGTTCTGCCAGGCTCTTTGATTTGATCTGTAGTAAGGAAATTTCTTCATTATAAAGTCATAAATGCCAGAGAGGGTGACTTTATTTGAAGGACTTTGCTGGATGGCCATTGCAATTAAGGCAATGTAGCTGAAAAAAGGAAAACTTGCTGTTACACCATCGCCTTACATACTCAGTTTTTAGGACCACATGGGTACATGTGTGCCTATATCCTGCTTCCAAAAGTTCTCCCAGTGGATCCAAGACATCTCAGGGATAAGTGCCGAGCGTGGTCACTGCCTCTCCACCCAGAGCCCCCAGGGTGATATTCAGGCGTTACTTCCAGGCAATTGAGTCCCGACAGGGCTGTTTCCCTTGGCACTCAGCTCAGAGTGCTTAGATACAGCAGGATTACAGAAAAATCACCCACCTCTCCAACCGCATCAGAAAAGTTTCCCTGAGCTGGAAGGCTGCAGTGACCAGGCTCAGAGACACTGTCACTGGAGACTTTGCCTGCTTGTGGAAAGGACCTCAGATGCCCCTATGAACATCTACACCGTGCACCTTCCCACAATACTGGGAATTATCTGAATCCATTTCAGCCATTGGCATGTTGCACATTTAATTCCCCTTCTCCTGGGGCTCCTGGAGGTCGGAGAACACCATCTGAGGTCTGGTGGCTCAATGGCATGCCAGAGTTGCTGTGACCCCACACAGGAGGAAACAGGTCGTGAATATTTCAAACAGAGAGGGGGGGAAATCTTCCCACTGTGGTGCCTGCGCTGGGGCCAGACCCACTGCTCACACCTGAGGAGAGGTCCCATGCTGCCCTGAGAGCTGGGATCCCACCATCCCAGAGCCCAGAAACATCCCCAGAGATGGAGGGACTTGGAAAAACTTCATCTTACCTGTACGCTGGTCTGGTGAATTTTTTCTCTTCGTCAGAGCTACAGGTAGGATAATCATCTCCATCATAATTAAAGCAGTTATAGGGGTACTGTGTGTTGTCGAACATCGTCCTGCTCCTTGCTCAGCTCCTGTGGAGTGAGAGAGATGGAGTGATGTTTCTCAGAGCTTGGACTCCCTCCTCCCTTCTTCCCTCCCCTCTGTCTGTCTCATTCCCTCTCTCCCCCCCTCCTCACACTCCCTTTCCTCCATGCACACATACTCTCCGTGATGGGGTGGGGATTGTTTTTGCAATTCTCGCGTCCCAGACAGCCCGTCTGTTAGGATATTATTTTTTGGGGGGGGGGGAGTGGGTGTTATTGTTGTTATTGTTATTGCCTCCAATGAGGTGGCGGAGCCAGGCGGCTGGTGACGGATGGAGCTGGTGAATTGGGGGTGAACCTTTGAACCGGGGTGTGCACCGCCGGTAGCTCTGCTCAGCTCGCTGGGTGGTCCGGGCTGGAGAGGGGCCAGCACTACCCCGCCACATCCACAACGTGACAAAAGAAAACAGCATGATGTTAATAAATCACGCTTCAAGGTCTCTACTTGGAAATTAAACTTTGAAAACAGCGTGCAGCTCCCCCCAGCCCTCGAGTCCCCCCCCACTTAGTATTTTTCTCTCCCCAGAGAAGCAGAGTGGCTTTCTTATTTATTTATTTTTAGAAACCCGACGTACAATAAACAGACATTCCAGGCAGTAATGCATGCTTGTCCTGATCTGCAATCTATAATACAGTATAATAGACATAAATTATATTTCCATGACTAAAGGAAAATGTGTATGTTCAAAGAAAGTAGAACAGAGGGATATGAGGGACTACTGTCAAGCAGGAAAGTAAAAGGAAAATAGCTGTAGGCAGGAGAGCTGCCTGTGTGGGCTTTGATCTGAAGGATGAATTAGACTAATAGCCCTGTGTGTTGGCATCCAATACTGTAACAATTTAATAGTTTTTCAATGCTTTGGAGTGTTTTCCAACAAGTGATGTAAACCAAAGGCATCGCACACCATTTCGGGGGGACTAAAAAGGTGTATGCCACATGATAATTAAATTATTTGAAGACAGCTCTGTCCCAGGAACTAGCCCCAGGAGGAAATGGGTATTGGAAAAGAGAAAGCAAATTGGTGTGCAGAGACTTACCTGGATGGAAATACAGAAGCAGAACCACTACCAATGCAACCTTTGTTTTCTATACCATCTTTCATACAAAGTATGACCCCAAACCTCTTTCGGAGTTAAAGGATACAATTAGGGGAAAATTGATCCGACTGATAAAGAGCCCTTTAAAGTGATTCTTAAGTGACTCCTAGAGTTTTGACAAAGGTGGACACAAAGTTTTTCTGTGGAATATAACAATACATTATAGCAGGGAGTATGGGGAAATACGTGGCATGAAAAAATAGATACAGGAGGTGTTTTCTTGGGAATATGAAGCCAGAGCAGATACCCAAAATAAAAAATTATCTCCACTCTAAAATACATCAATAGGCGTATGCATGAGGCATCCACTGCAGAGGATGTCTTAATACAAAGGGTCAGCTACTGCTGCCTAAGGCATTAGCAGGGCTTTAATATTGAGCAAGATAGAGCAGATTCAGTAGTGGAGAATGAAATAGATAATGTCTGATCTTCATTCATACTGTGTCCAGCTGAACTAGAGGGTTTAAAGTAAAGAAGAACCTGGACCGCAGACTTGGGAAGATTTCCTCTCACTAAAAAGCACGATCCTTGAGACACAAGTAAATGTCCACTTTGATTTTTAGCAATGGTTCTTCTCTTTGGAGGTGTTTTACGTCACTGAAATTCCAGTAATTCAGTCTTGCTTCTGATTTATGACAATATTTAAAAAGCAGAACTGGGTTAGTTGACTCTGATTTTACACAATCTCTTAGCGCCCTTTATTCAGTTCTTCATATTCTATTTATGAAAATTGCCTTGCTGAGAAATTCAGACAACATACATTGACCAATATCCTCACAAATTTACTAACAGTATATAATGTAAGGAGAATTACAGCAAATTACTGTAGTGTCATACATTTAGTAGTGTTAATTACCTCAATTCCTCTATTTTCTTGCTGTGGTGAGTGTAATCAGCTTGTCCATGTTTAGCACATCTATAACATGCATTACGACTGTTCGTTAACTCTACTCTGTGCAAGAGCTCATGGCCACCGTATTTTTCAACCATTTCAGTGGAAAACAACACTTAGATTAAATTTCTGCCTCAGTGGCTGGTTTGTGAGACTGAATTCAGCAAACGAAGGTGAGTCCTAACAACCAGTGCTGGTGTCCTTGAGCAGCTTCTCAGGAGCGAGTGGGACCATGGGTGGGTGCAGGGGCAACCTGGCAAGATACACAGGAAACTCCTACCATTGCCATTTGTAACACATAGTCTGTGGATAAATATTATTATTCCCTGATAGCCAACAGTGGGCTGGAGTATTTAGTTTCTGGCTCTACAAATATCACTAAATTCACCTGCTGCAAATTCATACAGACCATAAGAAGAACACAGACCATTTTTGAGTCCTACAAGATCAGAAACAAATTATATATTATCTCCCATAAACTTGCTTCTGAAATGCAGATATGCAAAACTGGCTGAGTATTTCTCAAGGTATTTTATAAAGCCTGCATCCTGATATGTTATCCCCAAGTGATTGTTTATGGTCCAATTATAATCCTTGAAAATAATATTCATAAAGAAATGTTACTATGCTCTTACATGTATTGTGGTGGAGCTAGCAGGTGCCATGCTTATGGTGGCAAAAACATGTTATACAATAGCTTTTTCCTAGCATCTGTGCAGACATTATAGTTTAACTAGAGTAACTATAACTTATCCCTGTCATTATCATAAAAGCATAATTTTGCCAGGCTAGTGTTTTCTTACGTTGTATATTTTTCAGAACACAAAGTTGTAAACCATTTGATTTGAAATTGTAAATAGGCAATAAAAATACTGTGAAAGATTTACTTATTTCTTTAACTTTGATGTTAAAAAGTTATTTGCAAGTTTTGTAATTATGAGACAGATTATGAAAATTGTACATGAAAATCAGACCGGTCATAAATCCAAACACGGCTGAATTACCTATCAATATAGTTCCTTGCAATGACAGTGGGTACGTCAGTGTGTAGGACTGCACATTACCATCCCAGTCCTCTTAGCGGTGTAGACTAGGATTTCTCTCAGCAGCACAGCTTCTGCTCTCTCACTGACTTAAGAACCAGAGATGGTTGCAGTTTAGGACTTTGTGCCAGACCTTTAAATCATAGAGTTATTTGGGTTGGAGGGCACCTTTTAAAGATCACCTAGTCCAATCCCCTCCTGCCGTCATGGGCAGGGATATCTTTCACTAGATCAGGTTGCTCATAGCCCTGCACAACCTAACCTTGAACATTTCCAGTGATGGGGTATCCACAACTTCTGGGCAACCTGATCCAATGTCTCACCACCCACACAGTAAAGAATATCTTCCTTACATTCAATATAAATCTCCTCTCTCTCAATTTAAATCAGTGGAAACTAGTGGTGGCCTTCAGCAGGCTTTGGAACACTCAACGGTAGTCTACACCACCGGTAAGCTGCTTTCTTTTTAGTACAAGATCTGTAGCTCTGGCAAAGAAAGAAGAGGATGGGGAAGTGAAGGTGGCGGTACTTACTCTCCCAGTTGCTGTGATATGTGATAAGGAGAAGAGTTCCCCAGACTTGGCTGGGTGTTTGGCTGCGATGACACCTGATACCCCATATAAGAGATCTTCTGACATTCAACTCAGTGACCCTCATTTCTAGGAAAGCAACGAGTCTTGCCATACTGGCCACCTGCATTTCGTCCTAAATTGCTCTCTGCTTCACCCACGTCCATCAGTTGAATTGCTTTCTTTTCTGTTTTTCCTTTGTGTTCATACTCAGAACTTCATGGAAAGGCAATTTGCACCACAATTTGTGGTTTTCTGCTGGAGCTCAGTGACAATTGTTTGTATTTCCTAGCTAGGGGATTATTTGGAGGGGCATTGCTCATCTGCATGCCTTCTAGCTGCAGCAGTGTAAAACTCATGCATAAAACACAGCAAGGGTTTCTACTGAAATAGGAACATGGATAAGAAACCTTCAATAACAATTCATCACATTAGAGGAGGTAAATAAGAGACCAACTATATAAACTAGCTCAGACGTATTATCCTTGCCCTAGCTAGCTATGGAGATTCACAAGGCATATGTGAAAATCCATTTCTGAAGATGCTCAGTGTGTTTTGGTAGAAAAATAAGAAAAGAAGGGTTTTCAGGGTGAAAAGCCATTTCTCCTACCTAATCCTGGGTTGTGACTATTGATCAAAAAACGTTTTTTTCAGAAATTCAGCTGGCCAAGCTGAGGGCTTTTGACAGTGTTGTGAAGCCCTGTGACCATATTATCACCAGAATGGACTGTATTTCTCTTTGGGCCAGGGAGGAGTTTAGATGGTACTTTCTTATCTGCTTGGTGGGCAGACCTGGTAGCCCAATCCATCGTTCTCCAATGCAATGGACTAGGGTTTTTTGTAACATTATCTGCTTTCCCCGAAGAATAGCAAATCCTTTTCTAGCGAGAAGCTCTCAAACAAGTGAAGTGACAACTACCAAGCGGGAAAGAAGCCCGAACCTGTAGAGAAAGCCTGCAGGTCTGTGAGACCAGCTCCTGGGACCACTGGGTTTCCTGGTAGAGATGTGCACATGGACATTTGAGGGCTGACTGCGAGTAACATCACAAAAAATTAGCACTTAAATATATTATTTCTCCTTTGCTCCCATGACATCATGACTTCAAAGACAATGTAGGGAGAACATGGACAAGTCTCTAGCTTTTAGCCATTTATTAAGCTAAATTATTGAATTTTTTTTTACACATCTTCTACTTAAAACCAGAAGTGATGGAAAGAGGTTTTAAAAGCTTTACAAAGAATAATTAAAAAAAAAAAAAAGAGTTTAGGCTGGACAAAATATTTTCAAAATTTTACATTCTGTCCTTGGTTTGCCCAGCACCTTTCTACAGTAGGGATGCTGGCAGTTAAAAGGACACATCCTC